GAACACAAAATAAAAAAGAAATAGTATAAAGATGTTAGATAGTTGTTAAAAGGTGATAGAACTTTGGAGAATCATGAAGAGCAGACCTGAGAGAAAATGGGGATTTTTGGGAGGTTGCTGCAGGGTTCTGGGCCTCAAGCACATGTCCAGAGAACAGACACTGTCACACGGGAAGTGGAGGATTGGCTGACATAGACAACCAGGTCTGAAATTTTTAAGGATAATGGCCCAGGTTGGGAAGGCACAAAAATTGTCTTTCTAGACTGGAATTAATCTCTTTCCTTGGCCCTAATTCTCATTTATTTGTTAATTACAGCATAAAAAAAAAAAAAAAACACAGAGAGGAAGAGATTCCAGAGCCTCAAACTGACAAAGCTCACCTCCTGGAGCTCTTGATCCAGTGGTCCTGCCCCCTCCTGTGGAACTTGTGGCCTCTGAGAGAAAAGAAAGGCAGGATTAGTCTGGATTGTGGGGAAGTAGAGTGTTATGTTATTTTAGGGATCTGTCACCGGAGGAGCCTTGTGTGGCATTCCCTGTGTGCTTTGAACTCACCGGTGTTGTCATTCCCAGGCTCCAGAGTCTTTCCAGAGACTGGCCCAGAGGTAGCTATTGAGAAAGGGAAGGGTAGTCACGGTCAATAAGTGGTCATCATGAAGTAGAAAAAGGGTAACAAGAAAATAAATGGAAAAAATGTGTATTCATTCTTATTTCAGTAAACTGGGCTTTTAACGATATAAGGTATTTTGTATACCCCTTCCATAATATTCTTGCAATAGCAAATCTGCCAAACATAGACTTTTACTTCTTAGGCCTCATTTTCTCTAGAGTTCAGGAAGAGGGAGACAGGAGCTCTCTGTTTAGACATCTCTGTAACTGCCAAACAGCTACACACTTGCTTTGAGAGTGGGGGGAAAGTCTCCTCAAAGCACAGGAAATAAAACTGAAATTTGAGTTTCTGAATATTTGTCAATGAACAATAGTAAAATGTTCTCTAATACAGGAGTAAACAGTGGCATGGATACATTTCAAGGCACCACCTTTACTGGGTATCTTTAGAAAGCGAATGCAATGACCAAGCAAATGCTCACCTGTGGCTCCTTCACCTTTTGTCGTTCCATGTCCTATGAGGGTGGTTGTAGCCTCTGAGAGAGAAAATTCAAAAGACATATTTGGAAGATATTCAAGGGCTATGAACAAAATATCATATTACTCATTTATAGCATAATAACTCAGGAGACATCTAATTATCACAGGAGTCCTGAAGTCTTCCCAGACCACATGTGGACCCA